AAAGAGAGTCAAGTGTTGACAGGAGGGAAGGCCTGGGTGTGCATCCATGTTTTTAGTTGGCTTTTAAAAGTACCCAGCGTAGGGGCCTCGCGAATCTCTGGAGGAAGGTTATTCCAGAAGCGAGGAATTAATGGAGAGTTCCAAGGCAGCTTCATCTTATTCAAAAGACAGAATCTTAATCAAAGGACAGAAGTTTGCAAACTTGTGGGATTTGTCCATGCTAATAATTGACAGTTTGCCTAAGTACACTAATAGATATTGTATTACAGTAATGGTGACAGTGGTATGGGGTACAATAGCCCCATTTTTTCAGGATGTCCTTCCACACTATCTCCCAAAGTACACTGTCCACTCAGATTAAGGAGCAACGCTCTATTGTGCTGGTAGGGGTTGGACCAGGAAAAAAGGGGGGAGCAAACTGATTTCCATTAGGTCCGTCTCATGGAAGTTAAGAGAGGTGGGTGGGGTATGTCCCAGTATTTACTGAGGGGCACATTTGTAATCATACTTTTAAGAAACAACCTGTAATCCAATGTGTGTCCTTATATTAGTTCAAGTCCCAGTTCTAAATATTTCCATATGTATTTTTTTACAGAACACCATGCCTTTATCAGCAGCAATCTTTAAAAGTGAAGAAAAAAACCCTATTCCCCAGTGCCCTCCTCGGCTGGATGTTCAGACAATCACACCTGTTGTGTGGAGCAGGATGCCAAACAGTTTCTTGAAAGTAGAGCCGGACCGAGTCAGTGACCGCCAGGGCTGGCTGGTGCAGTGCCTGGAACCTTTGCAGATGATGGCCCTACATATTCCAGAAGAAAACAGGTACATCTAAGAAATGCAACCCTATTCTCTCTAAGAGCATGCTAAATTGTTCTCTTGTCTTTTCACTGTTTCACTTCATCTTGTTAGAACTTTCAAATACAGCTCTCTTGCTTTTCTTCCAATGAAAGTAGGAACATACAAGGGCAGAAATCCTGTTGGTGGAGTGGTGTGTCATAAATGCTGATAATGTTGCCAGAAGCTGTTAATCTTTTCTTTAATTTGATTTAATTTGAAACCCTCCCCCTCCCTCCACAGCCCCTAGTTTCTGAGACTACTTTGGGATATTCTTTGACCCGGGGAAGCCTTTGAGAGCTTTGGGATGGAGGATGGAGGAGCTTTTAATATCTAAATATTGCTGCTGCTAGTCCTGATACGTGTGGCACTGGTTTAAATTAAAGGCTCCCCCCTCATCCTGAGGCCCCCAGCAGACTTTTCTGCATAGTGACCGTCCCAAATATAGGACATCATTGCAAATCTGAAGATTAATGTTTTGATAGCACAGAAATTTTGGGCAGAGATGTTGGCCTCAATTTTAGACTGTTTGGTAACAGTTCCCATTTTGTGATATCTCCTTATTCATGTTAAAGGAAAAATCATGATCCGGCTGTAGTTGTGCTTGTCTAAGTTATTTATTCATGATTAGTTACTCCACAAAGTGTAGGAGAATTTGTATACAAATTACTGTGGCTGCCAAATTGACACTGGATTTGGGATTACTTATCTCTCTGGGTATCTCTCTTCTAAGTGGGGAATGATCTTTCCAGAAAAGATTTTCTGCTAGGGACTTTTGAATCTACACATATGCAAAGGACATTTGTATCTAAGCTATGTATTTTATAGAATCACAGAATAATGGAGTTGGAAGGTGCCTAAAAGGCTATGGAATCTAACCCACTGCTCAATGCAGGAATCCAAATCAAAGTAGATATGACAGATGGTTGTTTAATTTTCTCTTCCATGTCTCCAGTATTGAAGCACTCAAAATCTTCCGAGGTAATTGTTTCTATTGCTTCATTGCTCTAACAGTTAGGAAGCTTTTCCTGATATTCAACCAAAATCTGGTTTTCTATAACTTGAGTCCATTACTTTGTTCTGCAGTCTAGAACAGATCCTGCCTTCCTCTGTATGATTACCTTTCCAGTATTTGAAAAGTGCTATCATATCTCCCCACCCCCAGTCTTCTTTTCTCATTGCTAAACATGCCCAGTTTGTTCAGTCTATCGTCACAGAGTGGCTGCAAAAAAATGCAAATGCTATTTTAGGATGCATTAACAGAAGCATAATCTTCAGATCCCATTAAGAACTAGTCTCCTCTACTCTAGATTAGGCCTAATCTAGAGTAGAGGAGACTAGTTCTTAATGGGATCTGAAGATTATGCTTCTGTTAATGCATCCTAAAATAGCATTTGCATTTTTTTGCAGCCACATTACACTGCTGGCTCATGTTATGCTCGTGATCCGCAGCAAGTACAAGATCTTTTCCTTTGTACATTTTTATCAAGATTATTATTGGACTCCATTTAGGACTGCTTGGTCTGTTGCTCTTGTTGTGCATAAGCCGTCATCTATCTTTACCTCTTGCGTCTGTCTCCTGCTTCCAATTCAATGTAAAGCCCTCCTAATGAGGTTCTTCATGCTGTGGTCAAACACATTCTTCCCAGTCCTTGTGAGGTGTAGCCCACCATTTGCCAGGACACCATCTTCCAGGAAACATAGCCCATAGTGCAAAAATCAAAATCTGTCACATTGGCCCCACCTTTGTCACCAATTGTTAACCTAGAGTATTTTCCTTTCCCTTTCTGTTACTCTTTTGAGTACTGGATGAAACCTAGCAGTTCGAAAGCATGTAAAAATGCAAGTAGATAAATAGGTATCACCATGGTGGGAAGGTAAATGTGTCTAGTTGCGCTGACCATGTGAACACGGAAACTGTCTATGGACAAACACTGGCTCTATGGCTTGGAAGGAGCACTGCCCCCTGGAGTCAGACTGGACTAAATGTCAAGGGGAACCTTTACCTTCGGATGGACAAAAAACGCTATCTGGGCCCCAAAGTGCTTGAGTTTCCTTCCCAGAGCTTCAAAGTCTGATATGATTTCTTTGTAGTTACTCTTGGTTCTGTCACTTTTTCCCATGTTGACGAGAAGAAAGGAATATGCAACTGTGAGTTTGATGAATGATGGCAGTCCTGCTGTCACATTTTTATGACTGAAGGATTGCTTATCCATATTTCTTTTCCAAGTTTTTTTTAAAAGACATATGGCCGTTTTGACTACATGTAAACGGAGCTGTGTGGTTCTGCTACATACACATACAATTCAACATTCTAGATTCATTAAAAAAGTCCCCCAAAATGTAATGTATATCATAGGGTCACTGTATATTATTTTACTATCTGTATTGATTGTATGTTGTTTTAGTCCATGCTATAAATGTAAATTTATGGAAGTCATCAACAGACTCCTTTCCTGAGCTAGCTGAACTAGTCTTGAGGCTTGTCATGGCAGTGACAGTGGCAAAGAAGTCATTCTTTGCTGCCACCATTGCATCTGCACAGAGTCACGCAGTGGAGCTTTCCTGAGTGGTCAATAGCTTGTTACATCATGGCCCGCAGGAAGATAGTGCTGAGTACATGGTAGCTTAATGTAAAAAATTTGCATGGCACTTTGCAGGCAAATTCACTTGGATCTGCTCTGACTCGGATGCTGTAGTTGCTACAGGTCTGTAGATGTAACTGTGGTTCCTGTTTCTCCTGTGTTGATGGATAAGTTTCAGTTTCTGCAGCCTGATGATGTCAACAGGACTCTTAGAGAGGTGAAGGCTACCACTTGTCTGCTAGACCCTTGCTCATCCTGGCTTTTAAAAGGGACTGATCCAAAAAAGGGACTGATCAAGTGGGTCCAAGAGGCAGTAAATGCCTCCTTGCAGCAGGGTAGGATCCCAACTTACTTAAAGGAAGCAGTTGTAAGCCATTATTGAAAAAACCCTCGTTGAAGCCCATGGTCTTGGATAACTGGCCTGTCTTTAATATCCCGTTCTTGGGCAAGGTGTTGGATTGGGTTGTATCTTTGCAATTCCGAGGGCTGCTCAATAAGATAGATGATCTAGATCCATTTCAGTCTGGCTTCAGGCCTGGTTATGGGATAGAGACTGCTTTGCTTGCCTTGGTGGACAACCTACGCTAGGAACTTTCAATACCATTGACTATTGGTGTCCTTCTGGGTCCTCTCTCTGGGATGGGACTTGTAGGCACTGTTTTATAGTTGCCCTATAAAGGGGAGGACTCAGAGGGTGGTGCTGGGGGACTCCTGTTCAACACCCTGACCATTGGCCTGTAGGTTTCTGTGTTGTCCTCTATGCAAGTTAACACCTACATAAAACTGCTGGGAGAACTTGTCCAGAGTTTTGGGGTTTGGTGTCACCCGTATGTGGATGATACTCAACTCTGTCTCTGCTTTCTAAAATCAAGGAACCTGTTTCAGCTCTAGATAAGTGCGTGGTTACAGTAATGGACTGGAGGAGGGCAAATAAACTAAAAATTAATCCAGACAAGAGGCAGATCCAGGAATAGGGATTCAGGCTGGGCTGGATGGAGTTACACTCTCTTTGAAAACATGGGTTTGCAGCTTAGAGGTGCTCCTGGATTTGTCACTGAACCTGGGTGTCCAAGTGTTGGCAATGGCCAGGAGAGTTTTTGCACAGTTAAAATTAGTGCACCAGCTGCATCTGTTCCTATATCTGGCTACGTTGACACATGCCTTAGTTACATCCTGGCTGGATTATTGTAACATGCTTTATGTGGAGCTGCCGTTAGAAGGTGTTCAGAAACTCCAGATGGTCCCAAATGCTGTAGCCACATTGCTACCTGGGGCTGGTTACAGGGAACATACAACTCCCATGTTACAGCAGCTCCACTGGCTGCTGATCCATTTCTGAGCATAATTCAAAGTGGTGGTTTTAAACTATAAAGCCCTAAACAAACTTGGGCCCAAGTTGTCTAAAAGACCACATTTCCCTCTATGAGTCTGCCTGAGCCTTAAGATCATTAGGGGAGGCCTTTCTCTCAGTCCCACTGCCCTCATAGGTGTGTTTGGTGGGGACACGGTAGAGGGCCTTCTCTGTAACTGCTCCCAGACTCTAGAACTCTCTCCAAAGGGTAGCTAGGCTGGCCCCATTTTTGCTGTCCTTTCTTAAGCAGGTAAAGATCGTTCTCTTCAGGCAGGCTTTTCCTTAGTGACTGACAGCCTGAGAGGGGTTTTTCAAATTGGATTGTTGTGCTCTGTTACTTTTAAATATGTTTTTACATTGACTTATTTACCATTTTTAATATGATACTTGTTTAATTCTTCTTAAATATTTGTATACTTACTGTTTTTAGCTTTTAAATATTGTCCTGTTAATGATGTAAGCTGCATGAGTCCTTTTAAGGAGAAAGGTGGGGTAAAAAAAAAATTAAATAAATACCATCTTTTTCCATGTATAAAATGACACTTTTTCCCTAAAATCATTACACGGAAGGAGGCAGAGGTGAAGGAGCAGCTGCGTTCGGTTGCCTCTCGCAGCTGCCCATTGATTGCTGCCACCGCAGCCAGATCACTTCCTCCAGCACTACTTGCCATCTCCCTTCAGGCAGGGGACAAGGTGGTGACATGAACTGGAGGTGAGCCCCAGCAGTGGTGCTGGAGGAGGCGTTCAGGTGGCGGCAGCATGAGGCAGAGGCGCAGCCATGCTGGGCCACCCCTCAAAGCTGCCCATTGACTGCTCCTCTGCCAAGGGTCAAAAATGGGGGTCGTCGTATACATTGGGAGGTCATATACTTGGAAAAATATGGTAGATAAGTTTATTTCAATCACATACCATACAAAGATTAGGGTTTGGTACTGATAATCCGAAATATAGTACATTTAAGAAATACCAATGATAAACTTGAAAATATACCTTTTGAAAAGTTATATGTTGATAGTAATGTGAGTATTGGCCTAGGAACTTATCTCCTCTTACTTGTAGTCTTGTTTTAATAAAGTTGGAAGGAAAAGAGTAAAATGTCCTTTTAAAAAATATACTGCTCCTGTGTAATCTATGATGTGCTAAGAATGCTGCACATGGAGATTTTGTAATGGCGATCCAATACTTGGCATTCAAAACATTTCATTAGTACAGTATATACATTATTTGAGGTCTTCTCCATAATGAAGCAAAGCATCATTTTTTTCAATATAGCCTGACATTATCATTGTACTCAGTCATTACAGAATCCAGTTCCATCAACTAGTTTCAAGGGAGCATTTAGTCCTGCCAACCTGCCATTGTTTCCTTCAGGAGATCAGTGATAAGCTTGGAGGGGAGAGGTTCTTGTTGTCACATAGGCTCCACCCATCAGCAAAACCTTTGGAAAATCTCAGTTCTTGCTCACATGCACAGCTCATACATCACTGACTGTGTGAAGAAGGCAGCAGAAGGTGACCCTGCCCAGTGTGTCGATGAAACAAGCTTTTATAGAGGCTGAATAAAGCTCTGGACTTTTCAGTCTTGCTAAAAGGTGTTGGTAATAAACATGTCTTACATAATTGTGATAAATGTGTTATCGTTTTTAGTGCGTGATTTTTATCAAACATTTACATATGTGTAGGGAACGCAGAAATGAACTGCCTTGCCAAGCACTAGTGCATGCATCTGTTTTTTGCAGTCCATACTTATTTCTTCCTCACAAAGTGCCTAATAAAATACTTCTTTAAAAAGGAAAATTCATTTTGTAAAAAACATAATATAGTGGTTTTCTTTTCTCATTTTAGGTGTATCGATATCCTGGAGCTGTGTGAACAAGAGGATTTGATGAAGTTCCATTACCATACTTTAAAACTCTATAGTTCAGTTTGTGCCCTGGGTAATAACAGAGTAGCTTATGCACTTTGCAGCCATGTGGATGTGTCCCAGTTATTTTTTACAATAGATAATCAGTATTTGCCTGGACTCTTACGTTCTGGCTTCTATGATTTGCTTATCAGCATTCATTTAGAATACTCTAAAGAAGCTAAGCTCATGATGAACAATGAATTTATCATTCCTATTACAAATGAAACCAGGAAAATCAGATTATTTCCAGATGAAACAAAGAGAAATGGTTTGCCTGGAGTTGGACTTAGTACCTGCTTGAAACCAGATTTTAAGTTCTCTACCCCTTGTTTTATTTTGTCTCATGAGGATCATCGAAAGCCCAGTCCAGAGATACCACTTGGAATGCTTAAGTCCAAAGCCATAAACATGCTAACAGAAGCGGTCTACTGTAGCGGAGCTCACATACGGGACCCTGTCGGAGGGAAGGTTGAGTTTCAGTTTGTTCCTGTTCTCAAACTGATAGGAACATTGCTCGTTATGGGAGTTTTTGATGATCATGATGTTAAACAAATTTTACTTCTCATTGACCCATGTGTGTTTGGTGAACCCAAAGAAGAAACTATAGAGAAAACAGAAAAGGAAGATGCCGCACATGTAGAAGAAAAAGCTGTAGAAGCTGGGGAGAAGGCAGTCCACAAAATGAAAACTCCAGTAAGAGGTTTGCTGCAAACAAGATTGCCTGAATCTGTTAAACTTCAGGTGACTATCTTGCAATATTATTTTTAAAAAATTATCAAGCATGTTCCAGTAACCTCAGAGAAGAGCCATTTGGTCTTTAAAATATTTTATCCTCATTATTCCTTTGGTCTTTAAAGATGTGACCAGGAGCAAATCACTGTTATTCGCCTAGGCTATCACTCTACAAAAATGGGGAAATGCTACATCATGTCTTGTTAAGAAGTAGTATCTATCAAGTGCGTGAAGGACACAAAATTGTAGAACACAGAGATAAAAGAAATCAGCTTTAGCTATTTTGCGCATGATGACTCATTTCCCCCCCTTCTTTTACAAAGATTGTAGATAGGCTAATAAAAAAAGTGACTTTGGCTTGGATCTAAACAAGGATGAGCAGCAGAAGTGTGCATAACTAATAATGTAGTTTTGCAAATGCTACTGTGACAACTTGTATTGTATTTCCTGTGATGACAACATAGGTGGGTTCATCTGCAGTCAGTTACACAAACTCTCCAAAGTGGAAAAACCTGGTGGAATTTGTTTCATCTTTCCTACATAATATTCTACTGTGAGCATGTAAAAAAAAACCATCCTGTCTAATCCAATTTGCCTTCTGTCAACAACTTCTGGATCCAACCAAACTTCCTCTTCATTGTCCTTAAAACTAAGTTTCCATTGACAAAGATGCACAAAATCTACTGTACTTCTTTGGGTTATAATTGTAGTTCTTTTGCTTATAATTGTTTCTTATAGTTCTTTCATTTGTAATATTTTTGTGCATGTCCATAATTTAAAATGCAGTTTTTTTATTTCATGCTAGATGTGTGAGCTGCTAAATTATTTCTGCGACTGTGAGCTGAAACACAGAGTGGAGTCCATTGTATCTTTTGCAGATACTTATGTCTCAAAGTTGCAATATAATCAGAAATTTAGATATAATGAACTCATGCAAGCCTTGAATATGTCTGCTGCTTTGACTGCCAAGAAGACCAAGGAATTTCGTTCTCCTCCTCAAGAGCAGGTAGAAGCAAGACTTTCTTTCTGTCTGTTATTTTGTCTGTAAATTAAAATATAGTAGGGAAAATAAGCAGAACGTTTTGAAATCTTAACTATATGAACATGCATTAAAATATATTTTAAAAGAGGTGGAATGAGGGGGGGATTACACATCATCTTGTGACTTGAAGTTTGTTAGAGTTTATGAGTATACTAGAATTATTCAGCATCAGAGTTAGACACAGAAAATTCTACGACATTTTAGAAGGGATGATTTTTCTTTTCTGTCAATTGATCATCAAGATACCATGTAAAACATTCAAATACTTGGCAGCCTGTGATAATTTTAAGCAATTTAAAAGGAGACTTTATCGGGGAAAGTGGTTAGTTATATTTTGTTGCCATTTATATAGATTGTTAGAGAAGCACCATGTCCACCTACTGTAATAATAACAATTAGCATACTTAAATAAATACTAGATGCTAGACCAGTGGTAGTGAACCTTTTTGGGCTCGCGTGCCCAAACGGGTGGGGGGGCAGAAACAGCGGGCGATGTGCCACCGCCGCGGAACCAGAAGTGGCAGCAGAGGGGGAAATCCTGGCACGGAGGTGCCTCCAGATCTGCTGCCAGCACCAGCTGCTCCAGATCCACCTGCTAAAGCACCAGCATCGCGGCTGCAGCCGCCTTCTGCATGGGGGGGGAGTAGCAATCTGGCGACCTATGTCTCATGTGCCGGCAGAAAGGAACCTGTGTGCCAGCTGTGGCATGCATGCTATAGGTTCTCCATCACTGTGCTAGACCATATTAAAGCACAGAAAAAGAAACTGAATAGGAACAATTTGATAACATACAATGGTACCTCAACTTGAGAACATCCCTACATAAGAACGATTCGAGTTAAGAACGGCTCTGTTCGCAAAAAGTTGCTTCAACTTGAGAACGGAGCCTCGACTTAAGAACCAAAAAAAGAAAAGAAAAAAACCTTTCCTGCCCTTTTTTTGACCTAAGTTCACCTGAGGTCAAAAGAAGAAAAAAATTAAGAATTGCCCCCTAGTGGTAGATACGGATTAACTGGTTTTGCATTAGTTCCTATGGGAACTAATGCTTCAATTTAAGAACAGCGCCTCGACGTAAGAACGAAAAACAGCAGATACAGATTAAATGGTTTTCAACGCATTCCTATGGGAAATGGTGCTTCGATTTAAGAATGTTTCGACTTAAGAACGCAGTCCGAATATGGATTAAGTTCTTAAGTCAAGGTACCACTGTAATTTGAATGAAAAAGTACATAAGCGGAACGAAGAAGGAAGGAATTATAACTATCATAATACTTGAATGTGCGTCGGAAACATTACAAAACGTGGGGCATTAAACCCCCATGAATGCTGTGCTGCCCAGCTAGCAGTTGTACCAGCCAGAGATCATCCCACTGAAAGCAGTGGGGCTCCTGCATGCACAAAACCCATTTGCACAAACAGCATGAAGAAGACTTACCACATCCTTAACACATCGCTGTGTGCGTAATAGAGAAACAACAGGATTTTGGTCGTGGTTTGATGTCACACTATACCTGGAGGAATCTTTGTGTGAGGACATAAGCCAAGATGACATATCTCAGCTTTAGAGATCAGAGTTGCGGGATGAGCTTGAGGCCATGACAAACAGCTGCTATCCAGAGATACTGCAGGGTCCTGAACCCTCCAGAGGAAACCATCCTCTCTAGATGAGGGAATAGTCTCTGAAAAAAAATATCCCTATGTGTGGGACAGCCAAACTAGCTGAAGTGGAGTACAAGACTCCAGCAGAAGACTCCTCAGGTTTAGAATTTCGTCTGAATGGCAGGAAGTTGGCCTACAAATGTACCTGGCTCAAACCAAGCCCAGTGATTGAGAAGAATGACATAGGCATTTGGCTTACAACTGCAGTAAAGGAATGGCTTACTGTACTATTAAGCACAGATTGTTATCTCTTTAGTGTTAAATAATCACCTGACTTCCCCTGTAAGTGTTGAAGTTTTAATGGTTAAGTAATAATTAATGGCTGATGCAACACCCTAATGGGTGCACATTTATACATTTAACAAAGTCCTGAAGGCCATTTTTTTCAAAAGAAAAACAAGTTCAGGAGGAGCCCATTCTTGACAACTTGGTGGAAGAGGATGCTTATTTTTTTCCCAAGCAGGGGTTCCAGATATTTTATCCTGATAAACACACTCCCACAAAGCAGCCAGAGCAGACAGTTAAAAGTTTGTAAAGCATAAGGGTTTTGGCAGGACCATTCTCTATCGATTTCTGGGCTTCTGGTTTTTAGGTTCTTCCTTAAGTGTTGCTTGTGTGTGTTGAGAGAAAAGGATTTCTTTCATAACTAGACAGGCTGTTTTTATGTGGAAGGAAAAAAAGAGGCCAATACTTGTCAACACTGCTTCAACTTTACTAAGGAGGTTTATCATAACTGGTCTGGTAGATGAAATTAACTTCTGTTGGAAAAGTCCCCACCTCCACATGTCCACCGAATATCCTCCTTCCATGTCCATTTTAACAATTTGTAAGACTTGGACCTCTTTGTCATTGCTGATTATTTTATATGAAGAACCATTATGGGTCAGAATATTTCAGCCTTAATCTAAATACTCAACTGCTCTAGAAAAAAAATCTGACAACTCCAAGAGGTGTCTTTTTTAAAAAACTATGTTCTTGCTATGAGCCATCGAGGAAGATTTATGGTGATTCTATAAATTAATGACTTTCAAAAGTTAGGGCTTTCTCTTTTCCTACACTCTTCAACTTTTCCTAGAATTACTATATTTTCTACTAAGTCTTGTCTTCTCATGGTGTGTCCTAATGCAACAGCCTCAGTTTAGTATTTTTTTTTCAAAAATTATTGATTAATAATGTATTTAATTTAAATATTGCTCCATTAGTGCAAGCACTACTATGGGCAGTTTATTAGATTAAAACTTAAATCCCTCAAAACCCCACAATAAAAAAACACTGAAAACAATTTAATGATAGATGGACAGTAATTAAATCATAAATATGAATAGCTCTGTAAAATCTAGAACTAATTTAAAAAAAACAAAACACATTTTAGTGCATCCAGGACATCCGTTTATTAAAGGCAGCTCGATATAATTCATTTTTTATCAGCTTTCTAAACCTAAGGAAGGATATCTCTGGCATATCTCTGTTATCATTTTGTTCCAGGGACTAGGGGCCACAACCAAAAAGGCATGATTTCTTGTATTTGCCTTTTTGACTCCTCTTCGTATAGCCACTTTTAACAACATTGATTTAGATGAGTGGGTAGAACAGGTAGTGGATGTTTCAACAAGTGTTGAGATCCTAAATCATTAAGAACTTTATAGGTCACAACAAGCACTTTGAACTGAGTCTGGAACTTAACAGGGAGCCAGTGATGGGGCTCCAAGACTGGGTGTATATGATCAAATTTACTTTTAGTGTTATTGTTTAGTCGTTAAGTCGTGTCTGACTCTTCATAACCCCATGGACCAGAGCACACCAGGCCCTCCTGTCTTCCACTGCTTCCCGGAGTTTGGTCAAATTCATGCTGGTAGTTTCGATGACACTGTCCAGCCATCTCATCCTCGGTCGTCCCCTTCTCCTCTTGCCGTCGTACTTTCCTAACATCAGTGTCTTTTCCAAGGAGTCTTCTCTTCTCATGAGATGGCCAAAGTATTGGAGCCTCAGCTTCAGTATCTGTCCTTCCAGTGAGCACTCAGGGTTGATTTCCTTTAGAATGGATAGGTTTGTTCTCCTTGCAGTCCAGGGGACTCTCGAGAGTCAAATTTACTAGTCCTGGTAATTAGTCTGCTGGCTGCACTTTGGACCTGCTAAAGTTTCTTGCTGTTGTCAGGGCAGTCCTACATAAAGAGCATTATAGCTGCCTGTTTTTTAGATTACCAAAGCGTAAATCACTGTTGCTAGGCATTTCCTATCTAGGTAGGGGTGCAACTGGGTAATCAGCCAAAATTGATAGAAGGCACTCTTGGCCACAGGAAATATTTGAGTCTCAATAGAGAGCGCTGAGTCCAAGAGTAACCCCCCAAGCTGCAGGCCTGAGGAGAGTGTAATTCCTCTGAGGCCCGGTATATTTCCCTTTAACTGGTCTAACAATCCACTTAAGCTCTCCATCTTATATTGATTCACTTTTAGTTTATTGGCCATTGTCCAGTCCATTGTCGAAGTTTGGCAGGACTCAAGGATCTGTACTGCACTGCCTGCAGAGGAACAAAGAGAGAGAGAGAGCTGTGTGTCATCAGCATTCTGGTGACAATGAACCCCACATCTCTCTTTGACTTTTCCCAGTGGTTGCAGAAAGATCCAGGAAGACCAAGGTTACACTCCTCCTGTCTGCTTCCCTGAGGAGATCATCTTGCAGGACAGCCAATGCTGCTTCAGTACCATCGTGCAGCCTAAACCACAAATTAAATGGACCCAGACTGTCACTTTCTTCCAAGAAAACCTACAACTGGTTATCTACCACCCCTTTGATTAACCTATGCAAAAAAGCAGAAGAATATTTGAGACAGCTGTTTAGTTGTTCAAATCATTATTGCCAAATTAGTTTTCTAAATAAAAGGGTTTATTATAGTTTATTCTATACAGGAGGTCACGAGACCTTCCTGAAGAGAAGCACTGATGACATGAATATCCCATTCTGTCATAGTATCCCTGGCGGATGTTAATAGCCAAGATGGTAGTAGCTTTACACTGTGCAAGAAGGTGTTTAGGAGTATTTGTGTTAACTGTCCAGGTCACCTCTGAATACTAGCCACCCCGAGTAGACATGGTCTAGAGGGGCATGGGCTACGCTGTGCGGGGCACCACTGTAAATAAATACTAGTGAAAGATCTGGCCTTCAACAGCAGTGCTAAACAGATCAGCTAGGAAACCTCCATTCTGTAAACCTATTGGATCCATCAGTCTGCTCCATCAGGAGCAGACTATTCTAATATGTCCTTTCATCCCATGGAGTGGCACTGCTGTACAGAGTCCAAATTTCAGCCGGTGATGATCAAACTACGAGTAGGCTGAAAGTAGGCTGAAGACTCAGTGTTTACCACTTTCTGCCCAGACATGAATACCATGCCTAAGGTGTCTCCTGCCTCATGTACAGGATCCATATTGTGTGGGGACAAGCCCGTGAACAGCATGGAATCCATGAACTCCAAGACTGTCCAGCAACCTGTCTCTCCTCTTGAATAAAGTTCCCAGAAGAGTCTCAACAGCACACTGGAGACTCTTCTGCTAGGGAAAGCATTGGGTTACAGGGTGCACAGTACAGTAACATGATTCCACTGGTCCAACATGAGATGAAGAAGTCATTCCAGACCTGGGCTCAAATGGGCAGAGAGGTATTGCTGGCATTAATAGATTTCATGTGGACTATGGCAAAAACCCCTCCCAACCCCTCTACTCTGGCATGGTGCTGAATTGGGAGCATTACTGACAAAGGTGACACCACCTTCCTTGCTCACTCAGATTTCAGTGACACAAACCATTGTTGCCTCTAAGAAGAGTTCTGACTCAATTTGATACAGTATTGTAGTTCAGTTTGCCTTTTTGTAATAATATAATATCATTGTGTGCTGTGAAGTCAATTCTGACTTAATGGCAGCCCTTTCCAGACACAATTCTGACTTATGGCAACCCTTTCCAGACTTTTCAAGGTAGAGAATGCACAGAAATGGTTTACTGTTCCTGGAGGTATGCTGGAACTGTTTGACAGGTTTGCTTTTCTCTCAGAAGGCACAGTGGAGAATCGATCTTTGGCTTTGCAGTCAGACACCTAAACCACGGAGCAGTCACCGAAAAACTGTTTAAGATTTTGACCCTATTTATGTCACCTTTTGCTTCCCACCTGTCCTGAACAATATTTCTTCATCCATCTAGGTTTTTCTTTAGATTGAAACAGTTGCCTTTTTGCATTTTCCCTAATAATACCCCTGGTTTCTATTCATAGTTCTTCTAATTCATGGTCGATTGAGTTTAGTAATGCGAATATGTTCCTTGCATGGACTTTCAATTACTCAAAAACGTTAGTTAAATTTCATTTTGGCACTATAATTCCTCTAGCATTACTGGGGTTTACGCTAATTTCTGTTATTAACTGCTTTTGGTCTTGATTTGGAAGAGATAATACAGCTTCTCCACCTACTTCTAATTATGTAGTCTATTTGATTTCTGTATTGGCCATTTGGTAATGTCCATATGCACAGTTGTCTGTTCCATTGCTTGAAGCATGTGTTTGCAATAAACAGGTTATTCATAAACTTATATGGATAATTTTCCTGCTTCCTTTCTAATGGCTAGACCATAATATGCAGCCATATTTGGTTCTGCTCTCCCCCCCCCCATATTTGTGTTTGAGCCACCTTTGATTATCAGCACATCATGTTATGGTGCATGATTAGTTTCCTTCTGAACACTTGCATAAAAGCAATTGATTTCTTCTTCACTATCTGTAACTGGAGCATAAAGTTGAATGATTGTTAGGTTGATAGGTTTTCCAAGAAGTCTGGCTGGTAATATTTAGTCAGATTTTGTATTTTGCGTTACATTTTGCCTCAATAGTAGAGTCACCATCACAGTCCAAGATATCCTAGGCAGCCTCTCCCCAGGGGCAAGGACACCAGTAGCCAGCCCACCACATAGAGTGTAGGAGAACAGATCCAGAACAAGGCACTGAGATGCAGGAGGCAAGCAGAGGCAAGAGCCAAGACAGGAACAGAAGCAGGTGCAGGAACACTAGAGTCAAGATGCAGAGATATAGGAATACTGGAACACAAGGACTCTGGAGCAGCAAGGCAGTTGTCGTTTAGTCGTTTCCGACTCTTCGTTACCCCATGGACCAGAGCACGCCAGGCCCTCCTATCTTCCACTGCCTCCCAGAGTTGTGTCAAATTCATTCTGGTAGCTTCGATGACACTGTCTAACCATCTCATCCTCTGTCATCCCCTTCTCCTCTTGCCTTCACACTTTCCTAACATCAAGGTCTTTTCCAAGGAGTTTTCTCCTCTCATGAGATGGCCAAAGTATTGGAGCCTCAGCTTCAGGATCTATCCTTCCAGTGAGCACTCAGGCTTGATTTCTTATAGAATTGATAGGTTTGTTCTCCTTGCAGTCCAGGGGACTCTCAAGAGTCTCCTCCAGCACCACAATTCAAAAGCATCAATTCTTTGGCAGTCAGCTTTCTTTATGGTCCAGCTCTCACTTCCATACATCACTACAGGGAAAACCATAGCTTTGACTATGCAGACTTTTGCTGGCAAGGAGATGTCTCAGCTTTTTAGGCTGCTGTCAAGGTTTGTCATCGCTTTCCTCCCAAGAAGCAGGCGTCTTTTAATTTCGTGGCTGCAAGGCAGTAAGCACAGCAAAAGACCTTCATTACTGGGGCAAGTTCTGGTAGGGAGAACCACTCCTTAAATAGGCCTTCCCTCCAGGTTTCCAGGTGAGCATCATGAGTGGCCCAGCACCTGCTACACAGGCCAGGGCCTGAGCCTGCACCAGGCCATTCCTGGGTTAGGCTGGCCCCAATCCTGCAGCTGCCAGGGTGGTACGGGCCAGATCCTGACAGTCACACAGTATCTTCTGAGTTTTCCATTTTCATTGACCAGTTCAAACCGGCTCTGATTTTCTGTTCAGGGTCATATAGGCCTCTGGTGTTCTCTGAAAAATCTACATATAAACAGATTATAGTCTGGAACACAAGGACTCTGGCCTTCTTTTGTCAACAATACTCCATTGAATTCCTCAGTAGAGAAGCCTAGAATTGTGCTATAAATGTATCTGTGAAGATTCTCAGTCATTCAGGTGAGGTTATCTGGAAGTTGAGTCATGGCAACTGGACTTCTGTCTTATTAGGTTAAAATGTTGAAACTCATCCAAGTAACTTCTTCAGTCTGAGGAGACTTGGTAGGAGACTCTTGATATATCCTCCATGTTGGTTTCACCAAGAAGATAGGGGTTTGAGAGAGGGGTCAGGGAGACCATACATGTGCATATAGAAAATCCCTTACTCACCAGGGGTGGAGGCCTTAGATACAATCTGTCTCCTATTTATCATGCTGCCCTTTCATCCATCTCCAGGAAGATTAGGACCATACACCAGAAAGACCACTGTTAATGACTGTTGACGACCCATGACAATGGTGGAGAAGGCCTGCAGGAGCAGGATTTTCACTCACCCCCAGTCCTTTGTACATCTAATGAGCCTATTTAGAGCAGGGGGAAGTGAAACCAATGTGGAGGATATATCAAGGTTCTCCTACCAACTCTCCCCACATTGTAGAAGCTACTTGGATGAGCAGCTAAACGTTTCAACATAAGAAGAAAGAAATCCATGACTCAACTTTGAGATATGCTATAGATAGTTTGCCTGCTGTGATAGAGCAGGGGGAAGTGAAACCAATGTGGAGGATATATCAGGGTTCTCCTACCAACTCTCCCCACATTGAAGAAGCTAAACGTTTCAACATAATAAGAAAGAAATCCAGTTGGCATGACTCAACTTTGAGATGTGCTATAGATGGTTTGCCTGCTGTGGCCAGTCTGCAGTAAATGCCACTATCATGCAGAGATGTTATCATTTCAGATTAATATGTTACTGAATTTTCAACTGGGGGAAGATTGTCCTTGTCCAGATGAGATTCGGGAGGACCTTTATGAGTTTCATGACTATCTTCTAATCCATTGCGGTAAGTGCCTGTGTTTCCTGGCTGAAGCACATTTCTGGCATTTTGTTTCTGCAACAATACTTCTTGCGAATGTTTTGTTTTTACTGTATTTGCCATAATATTACTAAAGCACAGCGAAATATGAAAAATAAAGCATGGTAGTTAATTAGAATGGCCACCCCAAATGTTCTCTGATAGGAAGCAAACCACAAATATTTGCAGTCAAAAAGTTGTTGTTGTTCATGTGTGTGTGTGCGTGTTCGTGTGTGCATGCGTGTGTGCATGTGTCAATGCATGGTAGTGGGTCTCAAAGATTTGATCAGTTTGTAAATCAAGTAAATTCAACGTACATCAAAGAAAGCTGCTTATATTAGTGAACAGCAAGTACTTCCTTCTGTTGGAGAAATAAATACAACATATTTCTGGAAACATTAATAATTCAGGCAACGTTTTTCTGCATTACTAACCTAAGACAGTCCAGGTTTCCCTAAGAAGAATCCACTGGGTGTGTGCGTGCAAAGTGTATAAAGATATCTTGTGCTGTGCTGAGACGTCCTTGAACAAGGCTTCTTATCAGCTTCACCTGAACCTCAAACTCTGAGACACTGTAGTCTATATCAATTGTTGTCATAGCTTTGTTACAAATATTTGTGGTTTAAGGGTTTCAGGTTTTGTTCTTTGTTCTGACTCAAAGGAATTAGTGATGAGTAACTAGTGTAAGCAATATTTTAATTATGTTATTTTACCTTATTGTTTGTTCTAAAAGGTGCTACTGTCTGATACGTTCCTGGGTTATCAGTTTAAATTAAGTGAGTTCTGGCATGACTTAGAATCTATGTGGTATCAAAATAAGTTTATTACCTATTAGGTATACCATTAGATGAAGAAGAAATAGAAAGTGAAGATACCTCGTGGACTGGCAAACTGCGTTCATTGATATATAAAATAAAAGGACCACCAAAAACAGAGGAGAGAGAGACTACAGAAGAAGAAGAAAAAAAATATCCTAGTAAGAGCTTGAATTCTTATTCAGAGTATTGCCTTTTATTTTTATTTTTTGTTGGAACTTAATCCAAATAAGTTACAGGTGCTCCTGGTCAGTCAAAAGGCAGTTCAAGGAGTAGGGATTCAGCACTATGATGGATGGGGTTACTCACACTGAAAACACAGATGTGCAGCTTGGAGATGCTTCTGATTTTATCATTGAGCCTAGATGCCCACTTTTTAACTAGTGCCCCAGTTGCACTTTTTCCTGGAGAGGTCTGGTCTGGCCACATTGACACATGCCTTCATACCTTAGTTACAACCCAACTGGATTACTGTAACACATTCTATGTGGGGCTTCCTTTGAAAAGTCTTTGGAAGCTTTGGGGGGTCCAAAACCCTGCAGCCAGATTGTTAACTGGGGCTGGTTTCAGCAATCACATCCTTCCTGCCCCTTCGCCCCCCCCCCGTCACTAAGCTTTCCCTTAGTGACTAGATGTCTAAGTGCGGCTTTAAAATCAGGATGTTTTGTTCTAATCTATTTTAATAATGTTTATATTTAACATTTTTAATATCATGCATATATAATTCTTTAAAAATATTTGAGTACTTTTTTTTATCTTTCTCTTGTAATGATGTAAGCCACCTTAGGTCCTTTTATAGAGAAAGATGGGGTGATATATTTTAAATAAATAAATATAAACTTCGTGGTGCACTGGTTAAACTGAAGTACTGCAGCCCAAACTCCTCAGTCCCAGGCAACCAGCACAAGGTTCATGTTTCTGAGGTTGGTAAATTGAGTACCCAGCTTCCTAGATGGGAGGCAATGTGTAGCTTGCATAATTAAATTGTAAACTACCCATAAAGTGCTTTAAGTGCTATGGGATGGTATATAAACAGTACATTTTTAAATAAATAAATGCAAGGAGATCATTTTGACTGACAAGATCCTGATTTGGAACTAGATTATCTGAAGCTTCATCTCTTTTCATGTGAATCTGCACTTAATTTATTAATCATTATTGGAAACCTGTTATATATCCCACTACCTAAAAAGGCTGGATTTGTGTGCAATTGTGACAGATTTTTATTTTACAATAAAATTAGTCATACTTTTTGTGATCTTCTCATTGTCCTTTAACTCCACTGTTACCTTGTGATTCAGCTGCTTCTATGGTTGGTTTCTGATGTGTTTATATGCTGAAATCTCATTCTAAATTACGCAGATAACTTTTTAAGGCAAATTTCTGTAAGTTAAGACATCTCCATAGATCTTATTTGTTGCATGCCGTGTTGTGTGACCCAGAATGTTTGCTTCCAAAAGATACAATCTTTGCATAGCTGCACAACAAGATTTAAGCCACAGAATATTTTTATTGTTGATCTTGATGACGTTAGTAATACGTTTTTCCACTCACTATTTTTCATGCCTTATTGCCTATTTATATTTCTTTTGTGGATGTGTGTGTTTCCTTCTGTTTTGCTCATTTGTACAAGGCTCCTATTACTTGAATGATTTTTTTTTGGCAATAGTTTCCTAGCTTGTTAACCATGCTGATGATCTCCTGGACTTTGTCTTGTTTTTCCTGACCTGTGATATACATTATAACTAGATATTAATTATTATGGTATTTAATAACTTCAAGACATTCCAATACAACTTCTCTTTCAATATCTTTTTACCCAGTCTTCTCATTTTACAGTCTCTCTCTGTCTCTTTCTTTTGAACTTACAAGTTGCATATAGTTAAATTTGATAGTGCCATGCTGTCTGTGTCCAGTCTGTTCAACTAGAGTGTAAATCACATCCATGACATAGTTGGTATGGTGTTTAAAGTATTAAGAAATTTTATCAGTTTGTTTTGACCAGAATACATATTTATCTTGTCAAAGGGAGGGTAACTGAAGTCACCCATTATTGTAGAATGTCTCCTTGGTTTTGTTTTCTTACCATGAACATTTTGGTTAGGCTCATGGAAGTATGTTCCCAAAACTGAATTACTTTGGGGGGCTTAATATTATCAGTTTCTAAATGAGTTTGTCCTTTTTCAGTTTTGTAGTTTGTGCTCTCTTTGGTGTACAGAGGAACACCACCTCCCTCTTGCCATTCCCTGTTGTTACTATAGATCACAGGTGAGAACATGTAGCTGGAGAGTTGCATGTGATTCATTAGGGGCTTTTTTTGTGGCCACCTGGAAGCCCCAATTTAAAAAATAAAAATAAAAACTAGAGAAGATTTTTTGAAAGCCCTACTTCTGCTCCTGGAGACCTCCAGGAATTGTGAGTTTTGCATCTGGATCTCAGGAAATCCTCTAAAGCCCACAGTGCAAACCTGCCAAAAAACAAAACAGGAAGTAACTGTATTTATTTATTTGATTATTTGTTTATTTGTTTATTTATTTAAATTGGTAAGCACTGTCTAATCACAGATGTTTATTGACCTGGAACAGTTCATTGTTAGAGCTGACCACATTATGATGAGTATCTCCATTCTACCATGTTTCTGTTATTTAGCTCGAAGGCTTCTTCCATTAGCAGAGAGTACATCTATATGTGTTATTCTTCTCTAAATGTCTCTCAGATGTATATTCCTTCTATGTCCCTTTGAACTCTTTGACCGGCTGTCATGTTCCACCATATAAAGGTAAAGGTTCCCCTTGACAATTTTTGTCCAGTCGTGTTCGACTCTAGGGGTCGGTGCTCATCACCGTTTCCAAGCCATAGAGCCAGAGTTTTGTCCGAAGACAATCTTCCATGGTCACATGGCCAGTGAGACTTAGACACGGAACGCTGTTACCTTCCCACCAAGGTGTTCCCTATTGATCTACTTGCATTTGCATGCTTTCGAACCGCTATGTTGGCGGGAGCTGGGACAAGTGACGGGCGCTCACTCCTTCACGTGGATTCGATCTTACGACTGCTTGGTCTTCTGACCCTGCAGCACAGGCTTCTGCGGTTTAGCCCACAGAGCCACCACATCCCACGTTCCACCATATGCCCATGGCCTAATTTCACCAAATACTCATCTGGATGTTTAGAAATTTTTTTATCAGGCCAGGGAACTGGGGGGC